CATGGCGTTTCACATAGTAAATGGCATCTGAAATTGCACCATGTGCATTATAAGTTCCAAAAGCTTTCTTTCATACAAATACACATCAAAAGTTCCAAAAGCTTGAATGCATACTATTTCACAAGATGTAATAAAATAATACGAATAATTCTAACGATACACTTACATAATGCATAATGCATGTTCATTTTTGCGTTTCTTTTTACCTGCAAAATAGTTTTCTTCTGTATTTTGTTTTGTTGCTGTTATGACATATATTTATATTGTTGTTATCAAACAGGAATAAATATATAAAAACATTTGAACGATGATAGTTGTACAATGATGATTTATAGAAGAAGTAATAATATCGCAACTGATCTTCCCTTCTTTTACCCCTTTTCTTTTCTTCTTCCTCTATATTTTCTTTCCCTTTCTCCCATCTTTCCCTTCCCTTTCCCTCCCTTCTCTCTCTCTCTCTCTCTCTCTCTCTGTCTCTCTCTATCTCTGTCTCTGTCTCTCTTGTTTTGCTGGGGGGGTACAGTGTGTATATGTTCACTGGCGTACTGGTGGGGGGGCTTGGGGGGGCGCCAGCCCCCCCCCCCCCCAAATAAAATTGAACCATGACCAAGTAAAGAAAGAGAAGAGAAAAAAGAAGGAGAAAAAAAAGAGGAAGGAGAGGAAAGAAAGGAAAAGAAAGAAAAGAAAGAAAAGGAGAAAGAAAAGAAAACATAAGAAAACAAACAAAACAAAACAAACGAAAGAGAGGAGAGAGAGAGAGAGAGAGTGGTATTAAAAGCCTAAGAGAAGAGGGGTGGGAGTAAGAGAGCAAAGGGAATGTTGGGTGGAGTCGCCACGTCGAAGGAGCAAGAAAGGTACGCATAGATAAATATGTTGTTGTGTCGGGTCCGCTGTGTCGGTATTCTTGCTCTATCTAGCTCGTGTACTATATCAATTAAGAAGTTTGAAGTCGGTGAGATGTTTATTGTCGGTCGGCCGGCATTTTTTTTTTCTCTCTACGAACTGTGACTTTTTATCGGACAAAGAAAAGAAAAAACTAATTCAGACATTTTCTCTGATAATTTAATGAAACGTCAAAGCTTCTGCGCATCGCGCGGGAGGGAGGGAAACTGAATTCAGACAAAGTGAGTAGAAATCAGTACAACGAATCGTCTTCTTTCTCTAATAATTAATTAAACGTCAAAGCTCTCGCGCTTGGCGCGGGAGGGCGAAAACTGAATTCAGACAAGGTAAAGTGTCGAAAACAGTACAACGAATCGTCTTCTTTCCCTATTAATTTAATGACACTTCAAAGCTTCCGCGCCACGCGCGGGAGGGGGAAACTCTTTTCAGACAAGGATTAAGAGTAAAAATTTAAGGAAACGCATCGTCTTCATTCTCTTATAATTTAATGAAACGCCGAAAGCTTCCGCGCTTCGCGCGGGAGGGGGGGGGGGGGGGGGGGGTGGGAGAACTGAATTCAGACAAAGATTAAGAGTAAAAAGAATCATTTAAAGAATCGTCTCTTTCTCTAATAATCTAATGAAATGTCAAAGCTTCCGCGCTTTACGCGGGAGGGAGGAAACTGAATTCGGACAAGGATTGTAAGTCGAAAACAGTACAACGAATCGACCTCTTTCTCTAATAATTTAATGAAACGTAAAAGCTTCCGCGCTAAGCGCGGGATGGGCGAAAATGAATTCAGGCAAGGATTAAGAGTCGAGAACGATACAATGAATCGTCTTCTTTCTCTAATAAATAAATGAAACGTCATAGCTTCCGCGCTTCGCGCGGGAGGGGCGAAACAAAAATAAAAGTCTTGAACGGTACAACGGATCGTATTCTTTCTCTAATAATTTAATGAAGTATCATTAATATATTTGTCGGTAATTGGTGACTCGTTTTGAAGGTAATCGGTGGCCTCTCCCCCCTCCCCCACTGAAAAAGATCTAGCAACGCCCCTCATAACAACACAGTTTATACACTCGATATAATTTTTAGTACAACTGGTGAAGTACCGGACCACCGCCTTTGTGCATTGTGCGGCAACGAAGCATATACAACGTCTCACTTCCAGGAAGTGCCGGTGGACATTATTGCGCAAAATGTGGTTCTCAAATTGCAAAAGATTCCTACTCTTGGAGGGGGTAGGAGAAAGCAATTTTATGTCATATTACTCCAGGAAGTGCCTGAAAAGGCGTCTAATGTGGTTCTAAAATTGCAAATGCTTCCTACTCTGGGAGGGGGTCAAAACCCCCTCCCAGACCCACCCCCGCTTGGTCGTTCCGCTCCCTCGCCGCTTAAACCTCGCTCTGTCGCTTCATCAGGTTTTACATGTATTTCACCCCATGCCATCCCCGTAAGAAACTCTTGGATCCACCTCTGATGCCCATACCCATTGAGCTTCGGGAGCTCCGCCCCCCTGATGGGGCTTTGTCCCTAGACCCCACTTTGAAAAAAGTTCAGCGGGGCCAGCATGTTAGAGTGGGGTGATGCGGATTTTTTGTTGTCAGCCCCCCCAAACGTTTTTGCTCATTACGCCACTGTATATGTTCCACAACTTGTTCGCGGGAAAACCGCAACTGATATCCCCATGCTTCTTTTTTTTTCTTTCCCTTTCTTTTCTCTTGCCATTTCCTTTCCCTTCTTTCCCTTCTCTCTCTCTCTCTCTCTCTCTCTCTCACTCTTTTTTTTTTTTTTTTTTTTTTTTTGGGGGGGGGGGGGGGGGCAAGGCCCTCCCTCCTTCCACCTTCTCTTCCCACATTCGATAGCCCCAACTGACCCTGCACTAATTATAATATGGGCCATGACGCGAGACCTCCAGCCCAGGACACCATCATTGTCGGTCTCATCGTCTATCGGTCTAGTGGGGGGAACCCTCTGAAGAGTTGTCATGAAGCCCACAGGACCGCAATTATCAGTCTCTTGGGCTGTAGCCATTGTGATAACTACCTGCTGTACTCGTTTTCCGTTCGACTTTCCATTGTCTTGCTCGCGATCGGAAGCCATGTTAATCTCTTTTTGTGATGATTTAAGCCTATCTGGACTAGCTTGACCAGGAGGGATTAGACCTCCCTACATGGTCACTGACAGGTGGTTATCTAATCAAATCAGCTCTCAATTAACATAAGAAAATGGGGACCATGGGGGACCAACGGTCACCGCTTAGGCATCGTTTATTACACATGTATATAGGGCGCAAGTAAAGGAGCTATATGTAGTGCAGTGGGGCTTTAAGCTGGTGTAAAACAAAAAACAAACAGATATTTCAGTTTAGAGGATACTGATTTTTTTTTCGCCACCGCCACTTAAATGCAACAACTTATGTGTTTCGCATTCTGACTTTTCAAATGCAATTATTCGTATAAATGAGGCCGTTCATAACGACTGAGGTAAACATTCAATTTAATCACATTACGAAAATTGCCTGTTGGTTAATAACTAAGAAATATAATGCAATATATCAAATTCAATACAAGTACAGTCTTTCTTCATCTTAGATCAGTTCCAAACAACAAGCAAACATGTTACTACTGTAAGCCACATGAAAATAATAAATATTTAATAATAAAATCTACTAATATCGCGTTATTACTGTTGATTTGATTTTTTAATCTCATTCATTAATTGATTCGTAATACCTTTAAAAATGTTTTCATGCATGCAATTTCGAATTGAATTTAAAAATGAATTATAGTAAAGTATGGAGACATTCCCCCTCTCCCATAGAAATATGGGGGCGCCTCCCCCCTTAAATTTGTTCTTAAAGAGTCAACACCTGTCCCTCGGATCAGCCGCGCTCACGTGTATCTCGTTACAGGTCAGACTGGGTTGACAGCTCTGCATCTCTTGCAATTGCACATGTTGTATCTCTTCATACTACCACACCTTCTACGGTCTTTACTTATACATGTCAAACATTCCATGCGAGGAAGCGTAGCGATAGAGTGCCGAGATAATATTTTTATTTTCTGAATAGTCTATGACGTCATGCAAACACCGTCCTCAGTGCTTATAGGTGATACAGCATTTATTCCTCCTTTTTTTAAAACATTTTATTTTTGATCTTGCTTACCATTTTCGGTGTGATTACCCCCCCCCCCCGGCCTCCCCTCCTCCCTCTGAACATGTATTAGGTCCGTGCAGGAACCAAACAATGAAACCATGCATGAAACTGAGTAAATCTAAAAAGCTTATTCAATAACAACATCGCAAAGACTTTCTAAATCAATCTGAGACAAAAGCATTGTCCATTATATTTGTTGAACTTATGCAAACATTACAAATACAGTGGCGCTTTTCGTCTTCCGGCGGACAACGGTCATCCTGTTGAAATTTATCCCTTTGGTTGATTTCTTGGAAACAATAGGAAAGCAAAAACACGAAGAATGAAAGGGGTTTTCCCCTTTTCCTCCAAATATTTATTTTCTATGACCACTAAACGGATAGAGTCGAATAACAAGGTTATCACGGTTCAATTTCTGTCACGATGGGTTTAGCCAAGTAGAAGAATAATGCCGACCCTAATCTCCCTGTGAAACTGCAAACTAACCTCGAATCCTGTGAATAAAGTAAGTAGAATAGAGGGCGACCCGTCACTAATGCTGAAAGCCACACTGCACTATTTATAGCTACTTGCGCCCTCTATATAGCAAACAATGCCTAATCAGTGCATATTGGTCCCCCATGTTCCCCTTTTTTATGTTAAATTGTTGAGAGCTGATTTGATGAGATAACCACCTGTCAGTGACCTTGCAGGGAGTTCTTACCCCCCCCCCCCTCCCCCCCCCCCCCCCCCCTGGCCAAAGTAATATAGACGGGTTTGAATTCTCACGCCCCCTCCCTCTCTCTCTCTCTTTCTCTCTTTATCTATCTGTCTCTCCATCTCTATTTTTCTTAATCTTCCCCATCTCTCTATCCCTATATCTATCTCCATATATCTGTCTGTCTTAATCCATCTATCTCTCTCTCTCTATCTCTCTCTTCCTCCCTCTCCCTATTTTCTCTTATACCTTTCTCTCCCCCTCTCTCTTTCGCATTTCCAGTTTCGTCGCATGATGGCGCTATTGTACTCAGTCGATCTCGCCGTGGTCTCGTCCAGTTTGACGTCATGATTTGGTGCACCACCTATCGCTCGGGCCTGTCGTACAATGGTTACGGCTGCTACTGCGGGTACGGTGGGAGTGGCACCCCCGTAGACGGCGTAGACAGGTATCAAAATGATGCATGCGAATGATTTCATTGTACGATCTATCCGCACTCGAGTTGAGGATTTTGTACAAACATCTTCAAGGAGAGCAAACAGATGTAATGAACGAGTGTAAACATACGTTATTCGATTACAACGAAATTCTGAGAACTTGCCTTGTTATTTAAATAATGTCAAAAGAATTTAAGCAGGGACTTGGGAGACAAGTCCCTGATTTAAGTCAACGCAAATTCGTGTCATTATGAATAAAGCCCAAGGTCAACAATCTTACTTTAGCACGCAGAGATAAGCGTACTTACTTTTGAATTATTATAAGGGATGGGAATATGGGAAGTTGTTGATCAAATATAAAATTTAATCTAATACAAAATATATATTATTATGAGTATACAATACGAAGACAATATCCATGTCTCAATCTTTAAAGTTACAGAAAGATATTGTAAAGGCACATGCACGCAATATGTATAACCTTTTTTTGGGGGGGGGGCGGGGGCGGGGGGGGGGGGTCTCATCTTCTTAAGGTCAACCGACCTGTGCTTTAAATAATACGCATATTGATATCGTAATCTAGTATTGTGATATATTTTGCCGAAATTCCCCTTTCATGTCGATCATAATTCATCCGTGAATTATTTTTCCTGCCACTTACAGATGTTGCGAGACTCACGACAGATGTTATAGCGACCTCTACGACGAAGGCTATTGCCCTAGAAACGTCGAAATCTTCACAGCTCTGTATAAATTCCGATCGCAAGATTGCCTCTATTCGTGGAGCCGATTATTCGGCGGCTCCCGTAGCCCAGATATACAATGCAGTGAGTATTGTGAGTTCCTTCCATCTCCCTGGTTACACTATGAACTTGACGGACAAAGAAAGAGGACAAAATATACAGTTCTTCATTCTACCCTCAACAATTGCTGTGGTAGATAAAGGAACATCCCTGCACTGCTATTATGTAAAAATATGTAGAACAGGTGTCACATGCATATTCACATGTTCTACACATGTTTACATATTAGCAGTGAAGGGGTGTTCCTTTGTCTACCACAGCAATTGTTGAGGGAAGAATGAGGAACGGTATTGTCCTCTTTCTTTGTCCGTCATGTTCAACACAATTTTGGCTTTATCCGTTTCTCGATCTCGTCTATGTAGGCGTACGAACCTGGAGTGGGGAAGGGGATAGGGGGTAAGGGGGAGGGGGTGGTTCCAGTTTATGGTCTCAAGTGTTTTGAAATGACCACAATACCAACATTCGGGAAACGATCACCTCATCATTTTTAGTGTTGAAAATTCAGCATAATTATGTTATGAGTCCATCCATCATATTTCTGGTGAACTCCCTCAATGTTCTATTTTTGATAAATCGTTTTTTTTCTCTTCTTCTTCTTCTTTTTCTTCTCCTCCTTCATATTCTTCTCCTTTTTCTTTATCTTCTCCTCCTTCTTCTTCTTTTCTTCTTCTTCATCTGCTCCTTCCCACTTCTTCTTCTTCTTCTTCTTCTTCTTCTCCTACTCCTTTTTATCTCCTTTTTCTTCTTCTTCTTCCCCTTCTCCTTTTTATCTCCTTTTTCTTCTTCTCGTTCTCCTTCTCCGTCTTCTTCTTTTCTTCTACTTCTTCGTCTTATTCTTCTTTTTCTTTTCCCTTTTCTCCTTATTCTTTTACAAATCTTCTTTTTCATTTTCTCCTTCTCCTTCTCTTTCTCTCCATCTTCGTCTTCTTTTTCTTCTTTCTTTTCTCTTCCTTCTTTATTTTTCTTCTTCTATTTTGTAGATGATAAAGTTAACAGCCGATGTATGCAAGCATTGTGTGAGTGCGACAGAGAAACTGCATTTTGCTTTGCTGGTGAGAAATACAACTCAAAGTATAGTTTCTACGACAAGAAAAGGAAATGCAGATAGCACTTCGGTGTAAAGTTCTATTATGCTATTTAATGTTTATTTCTGTCCCCCCCCCCCCCTCCTCTGGGAATGTCAATTTCTTCTCTAGTCTTCTTCTTCTCATTCTTATTTTTCTTCTCCTAGTTGTTCTTCTTCTTCTCCTTCTAATTCTTTCTCTTCTTTCTGCCATGATTTCGTTGTTATATTATTTTAAACATTACAGATGCAATTTCGAACTGAATAATTACTACTTTGATAATTTTTGAATTGTCTAAAGTTATCATAATCGTTAAAGATAAAGACCAGTTATGGTCATGCGATTGCATTGTGAAAGAAACGTTGTGGAATCGATCAGAAAAGGTTGATCATCTAGCATATGAGTATTGGAGTGTACTGCAAGGTTCTGGAATCATCAAAACGATAAGAAATTTGGCCCAGTCTTGGTAAAGTAACAAGCACCGTACACAGAAAGATGTATATGGGACTACGCACACGTGCGCGACACGTGCGTTATATCTATCAGGTCCAAAAAGATATGATAATTTACCAAATATATCAATTAGTAGGCGGCTTCTCGGCAAAATTTTTATGATCACGTATTAGTCAAAAAATATTCTTTCACATGACTGGTAATAAGAGCTTCCATTTCATTTTTTGAGAAGGGGTCGTTTCCAAAACTGGTCTTTACGTTTAAACTTTGTACAACGATTAGTTTCCTTTCGTCGCTTTGAAAGAACTATTTTTATAGATGAATGGGTGGCGTAATGGGGGCGACGACAGTAAGGTGGGGAGGGCGCGGAATCTTGGCATCCGATATGTTGTAGACTCACCGTATTACAGTTGTGTGGCCTATATGCTGGATTGATTATGCTGTTTTTGAACATGGGGATTTCCCCGGTTCAACTTAATGTTGGATACGACACTGAGAAAAAACATTATCTATTCTTGTATCTGTATTTAGATTTGCCTGTCAATTCTTATTCTTTTATTTTCCGACGGGTTCATACTTCTGGCTTGTAACTATGCTCTTGTTTTGTATATGTTTTTGCCATCGCGGTTTGTTTTGATAATATTTCATTTTACTCAACTGCACTAACGAATTTTAATTCAAAATCGCTGGTTTGTGTTGAGGAAAAATATCATATAATTCACAATTCTTGAATTCTTAGTATGAATACAAAAATCGTTATTATCAATAAAACGAATAAATCGAAGTATAGAAACTAACTGAACCAAAACGACACGGCTGTAGTTTTTGCTGTTGTTGTTGTTGTTTTATTTATTTGTTATTGCTGTTGCTTGTTTGTTTATTGATGTTGTCGTTGTTGATGATGAAAATGATGATGATGTGCTAGTTGTGAACAAGACATAAAAGGCAACTTAGTCCAATGAATAAATAGTGAAATTGCACGAAAAAATATGAAAGTTATGGAATTTTAAAGTTTCGCATAATTTCATGAAACAGTGATTTGTATGCATCACTAAGGCTCTTTGCAAATTCTAGAGTCGACGATATAATTCCCTCACTATTCCCCATATATTTTGATTTAAAAAATCTAGTTTTTAGTTTTTTTTCTCACACCTTTAAATTAATATTTCGCTATATATTACAATACGTTACAGTACTATGGTAACTTTGCACATATTCCACGAGGAGTCAAGCCATCTTTTACATTCCAAAAGCAGGAAAGTGACAAATTGATGTACAAAACGGATAGAGAAATGTGGGGGGATGATATTATCAACTGGGTACTTTACATGGATCTAGGACACCTATCCCCTGGACATCCGACCCCCAGATAACCACCCCAAGTCAACTACCCCGTAAGACAACTACCCCTAGGACAACTAACCCCTAGGGCAACCACCCTCTGGCACGACTACCCCCTGGGACAACTACCCCCGGACAACTACCCCCAGACAACTATCCCCTAGGACAACTTCCCCCTAGGGCAACCACCCTCTGGCACGACTACCCCCTGGGACAACTACCCGGACAACTACCCCCAGACAACTACCCCCTAGGACAACTACCCCCGGACGACTTACCCCGGACAATTATCCCCTGGGACAACTAGCTCCCGGCCAACTCTCCCCTAGTACAACTACCTCAGGACAACTACCTCCCGGACAACTACCCTCAGGACAACGACCCCCGGACAACTACCTCAGGACAACTACCCCAGGACAACAACCACCGGACAACTATCCTAGGGGTAGTAGTCCGGGGGTAGTTGTCCGGGTTAGTTGTGCGGGGGTAGTTGTCCTAGGGGGTAGTTGTCTGGGGGTAGTTGTCCGGAGGTAGTTGTCCTAGGCAACTGGCAACATGTTAAATGAGTAAAATATTGGATCGGTATGGGCAAGAAAAGAAGAATGATTGATATTTCTTATTGCACGTTTTTGTAATTTAAACAATCTATCTTGATGAATTAGAGCAGCATTGTCCCAGACAATAATAGCATGATGTAAGTAAGGGTACACAATATAGTATATCATTTTTAGCAAACACAACTATTTTCCTCGATGTCGGGATATGTTTTGTGTATGTTTGGCATGACAACTCTGAAATGTATTTCTCTGTAGGTTTCTTCTTTCGATTTTGTTTTTCCAATACTTTGTTGGGGTCATTATTTGTATTCATATTCCAGATATGAGAGACGATCGATAAGGGAGCGCTATGGTAACCAGTCATTCGACGGTATATAGAGCCTATTTGTGGAATATAGTGAAATGCACCAATAACATTCCATTTATTTTATAAAGTTGAATTAGTATTTCCTGGTATGAGACCATGAGTTTACAAAAACGAAAGCTTTGTCCAAACAAAACAACATCAAACAAGGAAGTACATTTCCCTTGCACAAGTATAGAATAATGAGTGCGAAATTGCTGCCTGCGGTTATGATGAGTCATGTATTAGTTTCCGTTCGAGCAAGTAATACTATTACTTGCTCGAACGGAAACTAAGTATACATGGGGCAGTACACGAATGCACCAAATAAGGTACAACAAGTCTAGTGTAAAGCTCATGATAGTTTTATCAAAAGAAGCAAATACAATAACTCCATTGAACCAAGTCCAGGATTGAACCATATAAAATCACATACGAGGCGGCTTGGTCTTCGAATATGCCAACGTAGATGTCGTGTGAGTTTTATTTTTATTATTTGTTTCCTTTGATTTGCTCTGTACCAATAATATTGTCCGTGCCTCCGCTCAACGAAGGTGGTGCTGGGGAGGCATTAAGATTCGGGTTGTCCGACTATTATATTTTATAAAATGGCTCTAGTATTTTAAGCATCGTGATTAGTCAATACGCGTCACATGACATTGACAAATTTTTGATGCAAGCACGATTTTGCAGGAAAAAGCGCAAAAAAGTTATAATACACGTGACCATGGAGATCCAGCGTGCGCGCGTACGCGTAGTACTAGTACGCTCCCTCGAGTGCATTGTAGGCTGTAGGATACACGTAGCTAATTAATATTGTACGCTCCACCATGATCCCCAGGGCAGCTAGCTAGCTAGAGCTGGGTATTATTAGAAAGCAATTTTTTTTTTTACTTTTGCCTTGGATTTAGACCTTTTTTTTTACTTTTGGATTTTGTAATGAAGCCAGGAATTTCAGCTGTCTGAAGTAGACTCGCCTGTAGACTCCCTATGGATTTTATTTTTAATCAAACAATGAATCCCGTGGACTTTTTGGTAAGCCTGCAAGGTCTTACTCTTATTTTAGTCTAGTAGAACCAACATAACTCTAGATCTAGATCGAACTCTCGTAGACTCTTACTTAAGATCTAAACTTTTGTTTGTTGCTATTTGTGTCGCTATTTTATAAAAAAAAATAAAGCACTTGACCCTGTTGTGCGAAACGTAAATGCAGTGTACGCTCGGTTTCTTCAGATGGTTCGCACTGTCAACTCCTCGCCGCAAGCGGCTCGTGGCACAGAGCGGCACCAATCTAAAGAAACCTCGCGCGTACTGCATTCACCGCTATTGCACTCTGGGCCGTGCGTTATTTGTATATTATTTTATATCATATTATATTCCAGCTATTAGCCTGATGATCGCAATAGCTCTAGAGCCACTAGAGATATGAGGTTCAAGCTTGATGATGATATGTATTACCGTAGGAAGTACGGTCTGATCATACTTTGGGTTAATTTGTCAAAGGTCGAAGGTCGCAGAGGTCAATTTCTGACATTCTAAATATAAGCCTTGTTATTGTGATATCACAAGAACAACTTGAGATAAGAGGCTCGAACTTGGTGATATATAGAAAAAAGCCCATATCAGATTTTGGGTAAATAGGTCAAAGGTAATAGAGGTCAATTCGTGTAATATGAGCTATAAACATGATGGCAGTATTACTATTGGAAGATGATCCAATTAAATGTTGGGGTTAGTAGGTCAAGATCATAGTAGTTAGCTGACATTGATTATAGGCTTTTTGTTTTCATAGTGATTTGTCACGAATAATTTCATCAATTTCCTTTACTAAATTTAGTGCAGACGCATATAGGAAAACCCAGTCGCAATTTTTTTTTCTTCATTTATTAAATGCCCTTTTGTCGATGAAGGAAAAGATTTGTTTCATAACGGCCTACATAAATGCAAGGATGCATATATTTATATAATACATTATATACCTCACTTAAGAAATCCAGCCATCTGATTGGTCGAAATTGCATTCATAAACTTCAACTATTCCTGTAAAATTCCCGGTAAAATTCCAAACCCATGTAATAGTTTTAAAAAATAGTCCTAAAATCCTAGTAACCATGGTTACTGGGAAAATAGTTCAGTCGTGGTGAAATACCCATAGGTTCACATGTTAAAAAATGGTCTGAGCGATCGAGGATACCGTACGTGTGCAATGAATTGGTCGGTAATTTCAATACAATTGAATCTCGATCGATCTTATCGACAATTTTATCTTGCATTGTTGACATGAAGACGAAAATAAACTTCCAAAAACAACATCTGCCGATAGATCTTGATATAAATTCGTGCCAATGCATTGCAAAAGTAAAAGAAGGGCCCGTTTAATGGAGCTGCCGCGAAGAATCCAGCACGCGAAGCCGTTTTCAATCCATTTTAATGTATACATCAGAGAAAACTGCTGCATTGGGTATGAGTGCGCGATGGCCGAGGGGTCTAATCATCGTTGGTACGCACGAGATCGAATCCCATCTTCGACAAAAAAACAGTTTTTTTTTTTTTTTTTTTTTTTTTTTTTTTTTTTTTTTTTTTAGTCTACTCTCAAAGATACACTCATAAAAAAAAAACGTGCAGATAAATTAGATAAAGGCAAAGGTGGTGTCATAAGTTGACCCTTTTTTTTCGGCGTATAAAAGTATTAATGACTGCTTTAATATTCGAGAAATAGTTGTTTTTATACGCTCAAGGGAAGGTTACAATTGGGCTATTGCCCTCGGCATGCCTCGGGCAATAGCACAATTCTAACCTTCCCTTGAGCGTATAAAAACAACTATTTCTCTCAAAGCAGTCATTAATACTATACTGTTGGTCATAAAGGTGGAATATTTTTTTTACCCTTAGGGAGTGAGCACATTTTTTTCTTCTTTCTTTTGGTCCTCGAAAATTTGAAAAAACGCACCCCCCCCCCCCCCCATTGAGCGCCAGGGGGGGGGGGGGATCTAAAAAAAAGTTAAAATTAACGGGTTTTTTGTTTTTTTATAATACACGTTTCTTTCCCAGGCCCAGCCCCCCCCCCCCCCCCCACCTGGATCCGCCACCGTCAAAACAAGCTAGAATTATAATATACTAGTCTTTTGGTCAACCGTCTATCCTCAGATGCTTTAAATATTTAAATTTCAGAACATGAACATCAAATAGCAGAAGGAGACGGGCTGATAAAAGGGTATGGAGAAGGGAACGGGAAGCTAAAAAAAAAAACATTTGGCCTACACAAAGAAAGTTTAATTTGACAATCAGATTTTGACCGTCACTTTTAAAATTGCAGGGAAAAAAGGGACATTACGAAGAATGGACCTGAAGACGTTAGTATCAGTTATTCTCTTAATGCCGATCTGCTTGTCATGGGCCCATGAATTAGGTGAGTCTTTTTTTCTTTCCACTTTCCATCTTTACTACTGATAGTCCAGTCGAAATAGCGTCTTAATTCACTGTGCACTAGTCTTTGTGGAATAAACCAGTAAATAGGTATTTAGGTGGGATTTGTAAATAAAAAAGAAGCTCAACATCTTGCTGATAAATCACAAAAATGAGGAAATGACACTACCTTGAACCTTGTACTTTGTATCGATCACTTTAGAATGGTCCGCTGGGAACTATGAATAGAAGGATAAATTTGGGCTCGACGAGAGTATATAAATTTGTGTAATTCAGGGGTTGTGCTATTTGTTTTAATTTGTGGGTTGCAGGTTTGAAGACTGTGCTGGATTTCATGTATACGTTTGGTTGGGGTAGATATGCTGGAGTTTTATAACTTCAGGGAAGAAAGATTCTGCAAATGGTGTTGATCAGCACTGAACGACGGTTAACTGTTTATCATCCTGTGGAGTGTAATTAGCCTTTGGGTTAGGTGTCTTCTTTCTACATTGTCCCATTTCAGCGATTTTGTCAAAATTTTGGTTACACTAAACCGAGGAAGTCACCCAAGACCAACCTTGCTGCCCTTCGCTGCAACTTTTGCAGCAGATCCCTATTTTTTCTTGGTTCCATGGTTCCACGCCGAGCTGGCATATTCTATATAGGGGGTTGAACTATGGACCTATAGGGATTCTCTTTCACATTTCTTGAGCAGGAGCAGAAATTCCTTTAAAGAAAATTAAGCATCTTTGTTGCTTTAGTTGCAGCAGTGATGGACTGCCTGTCCCATTTCAGATTATTTTGGATGATAACTCCCAAGTACTTATTCTCTTTGACGTCTTCAAGGGTATCATCTGGTAATTAGTGTTCCCAGGATTTCGTTTTCTGGAGACCCTCATTACTTTACACTTTGATTAGTTGAATTTCATACCCCACTTGTTTGACAATTCTAGCAGATTGTTAAGGTCAGTCTAGAAGGAAACTTAATCTTCAGGGTTAACGATAGTCGTTTATGTAGAGGATAAACAGATGTGGGCCGAGGACGGTCCCTTGCGGAACTCCGCTGAGAACAGGCATCCATGGCGATGTTCTCCCATTATGACCCTCTGAACACGACCGGTTAAGAAGGCCTTGATCCACGCAAGAGTTTCACCTCGTATACCGTAGAAACTTAACTTCTGAGGAAGGCGTCTGTGTGGAACTACATCAAATTATGCTTTGCTGAAGTCAAGTATACCCATATCTGAAGTTTGGTAACTGAAGATAGGTCATGGAATGTAGCTATCAGCTGAGTCTCACAGGATCTTGATTTCCTGAAGGCGTGCTGTGCGTCGACCAAGAACCTTTTTGGATGTTTCATGATTTCCCTATCTAGTATATGCTCTAGGACTTTACAATAGACACGTGTAAGTGAACTCGGTCGATCGTGATCAGACTTGGAGCCTTTTTGAAGGTGGGTGATATGGTAGCTTCAGGCAATTCACTGTCCTTCATGCTCTTTTTGTAAATGAGTAGAAGTACATGTGCCATTTCTCTGGCTGCTTAACTTTAATGCGCAGCATTGCGAATATTGTCTGGTCACGCTGCCTTCTTGGTTTGGAGATTCTGTAAGAGTTTCTCCACACCTGTACTGTTATATTCGCATCCGATATGTTTTGATGGGGACTATTTCTCAATGTTGGCAGTAGCGGGTCTTCCTGGGTGGATACACTCTGGAACGGTTGTGGGGTATTCTTTCACATGATTGGTAATAAGAGCTTCCATTTAATCTCTTGAGAGGGGAGCGTTTCAAAAACTGGTCTTTACCTTTAAGTGTGTAGATGTCAACATTTTCTCTCTTGCGGGATTTGACGTACTTCCAGAACTTCCTAACATCATGGGATATAGATAGCTCTGATATGTACTTTCTCCTTACCTTACGTAGTTCCATGTCTACTTCTTTCCGGACAAATTTGAACTTGTCCCGGTACTCTGGGTTAGTACTGTTTTGTCTTGCTTTGTAGCAGCGATGTAGTAGTAGCGTTCCCTTCTTCTACAAAGCCGTTTGTGTTTCTGGGTAAACCATGGTGGTTGACACTTTTTGCCTAGCTATCCTTTTGCTGGGAACATGTTTGTGGATTTAGAGCAGTGATGGTGTTCTTGAAGAGGCACCAGTTCTCGTTAATAGAATTCTCTTTAGGCTTACCGTTGATGAATTCTGTGGCAGATGTCTGGATGTCATGTTTGAAGGGAAGGCTGCTTCATCCACTGTCCTCCACTAGCTAAGCTGGTACACTGTTCTGGGAGGCCTTACCGAGAATTAGGAGGGTGCGGCTTCGATTTCCATCATAACTATGCAGTGGTCTGCCAGAGGTGTAAGTGGATAGACAAACACTGCAAGCACACACAATTGCCCTGAATGTTTGATCTAATCTTTTCACCTATTTCTTGTCATATTTCAAATATATAATGGCATTTGAAGAGCAATATTTGTCAGGGAACATCTCTACTATAATTTTCTCGTAGCTATATTAAAAAAAAAAGAATGAGAATGAAATTAAAGGATATAAGAGGGAGTTTACAAAATCTGTCATCCAATACTCCCTTCTCCTCCACCTCTCTCTCTCTCTCTCTTTCTCTCTCTCTCCCTTTTCTCTCTCTCTCTCTCTCTCTCTCTCTCTCTCCCTTCTCTCCATCTCTCCCTCTCTTTGCACACACTCTCTCTCTCTCCCCTCTCCCTCTCCCTCCCCCTCTCCGCCTCCCCTCACCCTCACCCTCCCCCCTCCATCTATCTCTCCCTCATTCCTGGTACAGGTCCGTCTCATGGTGGTTCTCCCTTTCTCAGTCGACCCCGGCGCAACCTTCTGGAGTTCAGCGCTATGATCTCATGCGCCACCACTCGCTCTAGCTTGGATTACATCTCATACGGCTGCCACTGTGGGTATGGTGGTAGCGGCATCTCGGTGGATGTATTAGACAGGTGGGTTGTAGCACTCAAAACTTTCCTCCACCACATATTACGCAAAATGTCATTGTCATGTATTAATATTTGTATTATTATTACCATTTTTATATAGGCTAATCATTGTTATTTATATTATTATTTTTGTTTTTGGAGGGCGTGCTTTGAAAGCAGTTTTTTTTAACTGAATATACCTACCCTCTATTTTGAAATGAAACTTGAATGACTAAAATCATAAATAAATTTATTATTTTAGATATTATTATCATTAATGTTACTATTATTATTAATACTATTATTAAACGTAATATAATTTGTTGATAATTTTTATTTGCATTATTATTGTCATTATTATAATTTTTATTTGCATTATTTTTGTCATTATTATAATTTGTATCATTATCGTTGTTATTATTACTATTATTATTAATATAATACCCTCTCTCTCTCTCTCAAATGGTGCACCTGCAAGCCTACTGTATATTATTAATATAGTTTTAATTATTATCTGCATTAATATCATCAATATTATCATTTGTTAAATTATGATTATAACCATTATCATTATAATTATTAAAGTAGGCCTACTTGTAGTTATAATTGTAGTAGTATAAGTAACATCAGAAATAGTAGTAGTAGTAGTAGTAGTAGTAGTAGTAGTAGTAGTATCAGTAATAGTAGTAATTACAGTAAATGTGTTATCATTCCTCTCTACAGCTGCTGTGAGGCCCATGACAACTGTTATGAGCGCATCACAAACAATTTCGACGGTCAGTGCAACGTGTATTATTCTTCATACAAGTATAGCTTACGTGACTGCCTCACTACTGGAAATTCGGACCCTCAAATAGAATGCAGTGAGTAATATTTACCGGCTTACAGTAGACCAAGGAGGACGTTTACTCTATGTTAACGTCATATGAGTTAGATAGTGGTGGTTATACCTGACTGCTAAGAAAGCTTAAGTGCTTGTTAGTAAGCAACCAGAAGACCGACGGCATTACGTCCTCTCCGAGGGACCTGGTAATGAGGATTAATGCCTTACCAAAGGGCACTAGCGCATCGACTTGGTTTCGAACCCTTGTCGCCGGATTACGAGACCACTGCTCTACCGACTGAGCTATCGCGCCTCCCTTAACGCCCTTCTGGCTACCAAAAAGAGATGGAAGATAGGTCTTTATTACTCACAACCATCAATAGAACAAGTCTTATTTCAAGTCTGAAGGCCGTTAACTCTTTATATTAGAGCGTACACATTAGAGCGTACACAAATTATATCATAACAAAATCAAAAGTTGTTATTGGGTAACATAATACCCAATGTTACCAAATTTAAGCTAGGTATTACCCAATAATTCTAAGTATCAGGTACATATAACCTCGTTTTCGGTAAATTTGCGTAAAGTTGTACCGATTAAAAATACATGCTTCTATTTTTCGTCACTTTGCCAAACCTTTTGTAAGTAGTTTATCAATAAACCCACTTCTGTCTCCCAAGGAAAAAAGGATTAGTCCTACTTGTTTTTTATACTATTATTCCTCTCAACCAACATTCGGAGGGGGGGGGGGGGGGGGGGGAGCAGTCATTGAAGAGTACTGGCATCAGTGAGGGGGTCACCGTCCAAATGTGCTTTTGGTTTGGTTTGGTTTGGTTTTATTTTCTGTTGAAAAAAAAATGTATGCTTACATATGAAAATCAGAAAAACAATTTTTTAAAAAGAACGCCGCTGGATTGCTCTATTCAAAGGCATTAATTCAATGGCTCTGTTCTTCCTATAGAGGTCCGTTTGCTAGAATACTGATAGGAATAGAGCGGGGGAAGGGGAGGGTTCGATTATTTATTTTTCACTTTCTATTCCCCTCTCGTTTTCTTTTTTCCTATTTATAAGTCTAACACATCACAAATGGGTGTTGTTTCTTCATATTTCTGTAAAAGATTTGAATTTACTATTGGTTTCGTTCATTCTTTCTTCTTTTTTCCCCCTTTCTCCTTTTTTTTTTAAAGACGGTACTTTGAACACCCAGTGCCTGCAGGAACTGTGTGAGTGCGACAGAACAGCCGCATTCTGCTTCGCTGGAGCGAGTTACAGTGCAGAGTACAGGAACTACGACAAGGCTACGCATTGTCAAGATCCCAATCCAACTCCAAACCCAACTCTGAGAACTGGTCCTAGTCCAAGTCCTAGTCCTAGTCCTAGTCCAAGTTCTAGTTCTAGTCCAAGTTCTAGTTATACTCACAAAACGAGTGCAGGTCCTCAGTATTACTCACACTTTATCCGAATGGGGTGGATGATCTGCATAGCCCTTGCATATGTAATGAGCTAGATTTTGACCTTTAACCCTCAGGTTTGTCAGGACGGTGCATTTTTAGATTTGCCAATGGTTTGTTTGTTTGTTTGTTTGAAGTTTTTTTGGGGGATGCACTCTATCCTCGGACATTATTGTATTACTGTAAACAGAAAAGTTATTGCCCTTGGAATTGATAACCAGTGTCAGGTGCGGATCTAGCTTTTTGCCAAGGGGGAGGGGGGTTGACCCAGTGGCGGATCTAGGATTTTCCAAAAATCGCGCCGTTTTACTGTTTTGCTTATTTTTCTTCTTCTTCCCCCCCCTATTTTGTCACTTGGCCGCCCAAGGGGGGGGGGGGGGGGACGCCGAACCCCCTACCCCCTAGATCCGGCCCTGAGTGTCCTGTTTAATAAACCTTGTTATCAATGACAAGGTACAGTAAGCGTTATAAGCTACTGAAATCGCCCATTCGATTGGCTGAGAGCTAGTTTGTCATAGGATTCTAGCATTTGTTATCGATAACAAGTTTTATGAAACAAGGCACTGGAACATTTAAAATTGTGGCCTGGAACGTTTGCAATTTTGACATGGAATGTTACTGTTTATCTTTATAAATAAAAACACCCTGCAAGATACAGGAATTATCACAATAATTTTTTTAAACAAGGAGTATCAAGAAAATTGTATGATTTAAGTCTATTTAAATTGTCAAAAATGATTGATTGCCATTATCGTACTAATCAGCCCAAACGTATTTCCGTTTAAACCGATAGCAATAAAGATTACTGAATATATATAGGAAATGAATAATTTTAAGTATACAAGAAATGCATTGTTGTTTTTTTCATCAATATTGTATATAATTTTTGTTTCTTTTCTATAAGATGCATTCGTATGATTTTTAAGATTTGTTTTAAAAAAGGGAAAATTATTTAAAAAAATCAAAGTTGAAATGTATAGTTTGTCAAAATGTTACTTAGAATTTTGTTGAGTATTTCTGTGTATGATATTTAAAATTATGTTGTGCACTTTGGTTGTTATTTGTGGTTATGTGATCCTATATAGACAAAACAGGGGTGTGGAAGATGCAGTTTCGCTTCTCTTGCAAACTTAGATACTCCTAGGACGTACATTACATCGGTTTTTATAGACTTTTCTAGTGCATTCAATACCATCATTCCCCATTTACCAATGAATGTACACCCACAGATTGTTGAGTTAATTCATGATTTTATGTTGAATAGGCCCCAACATGTGAAAGTGGGTCACATTGTTTCAGACGATCGTGCAGTTAGTACTGGTGTGCCTCAGGGGTGTGTATTATCCCCAGTGCTATTATCATTGTACACAAGTGGTTAGCACGGAGTCCAATTGTACTATCATCAAGTAGGCCTACGCCGACGACACAGTCATCACAGGATACCTCTTCGGTGATGCCAACTGTTATTTTGCGGTGCTTGATTGTTTTGTGAAATGGTGTGACTCCCATTTCTTGCAACTCAATGTATCAATAACTAAGGAAATTATCGTAGACTTCGTTCCGTAATAACGTAACGGATGACCGTATGTACCCCTCACCATACATGATGGTGTAGTAGAACAAGTGAAGGAATATAAATATTTGGGCACTACCATAACAAACAGTCTGGATTGGTCAAGCAATGTACATGCCACACAAAAGAAAGCTAATCAGAGATTATATTTCTTGAGACAACTCAAGCAAATGCACTAAGATAATAATAGTCTTCTTGTGTTGTTTTATAATTCGATCATCCAAAGTATTCTCTTGTTTAATTTAATTTGTTTTTATAGCAACCTAACATGTAATCGTAAGAAAGTGCTAGACAGACCACGGAAATAGCTCAGAGAATCATTGGCATCGCATTGCCCAACATGGAAAAGTAATATGGTGATGGTTCTCTAGCTAAAGTCATGCCTATTATGAAAGATCCAACCCATCCTTTGCTCAGTCATTTTAGTTTCAATAGATCTGGTGTTCGCCTTTGTGTCCCCCGTACCAAACGGTTTCGCTTTAGAAACTCGTTTGTCCTCGATTCCATCCACATGTTAAATGGTAAAATAATAAGATGTGATGATCCCTGAAGGTAATGGGAGGGGGGCGATACCGTAAATGCAGTCTGATATAAGGATAAGGATATTATAATATTTAAAGTGATTAATATTATTTATATATGAATATTGACATTAAATATAAAGTCATTAATGAGATCATGTGATCATATAGTTAAAATTTAAAAGTAGATTTTTATATAGTTTTAACATAAATAGTTATGATTCTGTAAAGATTAAGTTTAAATTGTTAATATGACTTACTCAGTGATTAATGAGTAATGTGTGCTTTGAAGTTTGTTCAATTGACTTATGCTTTATGTATATACCTTGTAACCATGTGAAGAAGAAAAAAAGAAAAAAAAAAATCAGTTTGCGCCGACTCAGCCGGCCGGTGAATAAGCGGGGGGGGGGGGGGCAGGGGGGGGGGGCTTTTGTTTTTTGTTTAAAAAACAGGTAACATTTATGTTACTTTCGTATTTTCGTTACCATTTTGCGGGGCTAGGGAGGGGGGGGGGGGCGGTAAAATCGGCCCGTGGATCCGCGCCTGAGGTAGAGCAGAAACGAAGATGTATAGTGTATCACTTTATCATACCCAAGTAAGTGAAACTGCATGGAGCTGATGCTTCGCTGAAAGGTGTTGGTAGTTTGTTGAAGCGAGGGGTTGGTATAGCCCAGATCAAAAAATATACCATTTGTTCATAGATAAGTTATTAAAGAGTTTTTTTTTCTTCTTTAACATTCTTGGTATGTTCTTCTTCTTTTACCTTGCAAGCTATTGACTGGCTTTTAAAGTCTGATCAAATCTGAATTAATTCATTATACATGTAACATGATTACCATGATCTAGTTCATTCCGATCATGATCTTATTCAATTAGATACTTATCTAATTGCAGAATTCGTGCCTCATTTTTAACTGGTAAATATCGTGAATTAGATAATTATCTAATTATTTAGGAGATAATAAACTGATTCTTTAGAGTTTCCAATCAGAAGATAATTATATACAATCTATTCCTTAAAGCCTTTGTAAATTTATTTAATTATTAAGTGAGCTTGATTAGAACTTAGCGATTTCCCCTTTACTAACCTTTGTTATATACTTTTTTAACTTACATGTCACAGATTTTTGGAAATAAATTTAAAAGAAAAAAGAAATTTAATTAAATTGAATGTTTGAAACTTTTGGCTTTATATTTTACCAAGTTTTCATCTCTGAGGAGAGTTGTTGAAAAATAAAATGATAGTTTTTTTAAATGAGATATACGTGTTCAATTCCACTCGGGTATAATTAGTCGAGTCGATATAGGATTGGTCTAAACAATGTAATAGTTGTTTTTTTCACCGGTTCCCTGTAGTTTTTTTTTTTACATGGGAAACAACTAAACATACTGTTACTGCAAACTCCATCGCTTCAGTCCTAGTTAACAATGGAAAGTGGCAAGATAAAACCACTGAGGCCAAAGTCCACTCTCGCTCGGTGAACTCTGAGATAAAGAACCTCCTCAAGTCCACTCCAGAGTCAACCTCCATGTCTGAAGCCTTCACCTTGGATGAGGTTGAAACTGCACTGAAATCAATAAAGTCCGGCAAAGCGCCAGGCAACGATAACATCCACACAGAGTTCCTCAAGAACATGAGTCGCAAAGCTACTTCCTGGGTACAAGCCTTTCTCTCTACCTGCATGATAACATCCACTATTCCATCAAAATGGAAGACCGCTAAAGTTATTGCCATTCTGAAGCCCAAGAAGCCTGCAGACGAACCCAAGAGCTACCGTCCAATCAGTCTGCTATCGCACATCTACAAGCTACTTGAAAGGCTGCTACTTGCCAGAATCGTTGACACTGTCGAAGAGAAGCTACCTACTACACAGGCAGGTTTCAGGAAAGGTAAATCAACCACCGACCAAGTAGTCAGGCTTGTAAACGACATAGAGACGGCCTTCCAGAAGAAGCAGAAGTTTGGTGCAGTTCTTGTCGACCTTACTGCGGCATTTGACACAGTATGGCACCGTGGCTTATACCTCAAGACCCTGCAGACCATTCCAGATGTAAGAATCGTGAAATTCATCATGCTGCTTGTACAAGACCGGTCATTTGTCCTCGAAACATCAAACGGCGAATGCAGTAGGAAGAGGAAACTCCGCAATGGTGTGCCGCAAGGCTCTGTCCTCGCTCCGATACTTTTTAACATCTATTTCTCTGATATGCCCAAGGGGGAATGCATGCAGTATTCCTACGCAGACGACACTGCACTGGGGTTCAACAACCACTCCTTCGAAGCAATCGAAACATCACTGGAGAAGGACCTGAAAATGCTAGCCGAGTTCTTCAACAGATGGCATCTCAAGATAAGCATACCAAAGACTGTATCCTGCGTCTTCCACCTGGCTAACCGATGCGCCAACCGAGAGCTGAATATCTCACTAGATGGGCCTAGGCTGAACTTCGTCTCAACCCCAAAGTACCTAGGTGTCACTCTTGACCGAAGCCTCACCTTCCACGAGCATGCCAAAGCCACAGCTCAAAAGACCCAAGCCAGAGTGTCTCTCCTAAAGAAGCTTGCAGGGACCGGATGGGGAGCTAATTTCACCACCCTTCGCACCTCCACTCTAGCTCTTGCCTTCTCCACTGCCGAGTATGCTGCACCTGCATGGAGCCACAGCACCCATGTACACAAGGTTGATGCTGTCCTCAATGACGCTATGAGACTAATCAGCGGAACACTCACTGCAACACCAGTCAGCAACCTGCCAATATTATCTGGCATACCACCAGCTCAGCTCAGACGAGATGCGCAGTATGCTAAGCTTGCCCAAAAGCATGACAGAGATAAATGCCTTGTTCCTGCCCCCTCTGCCTTTGAAGGACAGCGTCTCACTAGAAGACACTTTGCAACACAGGCTGCTGAGCTGCGGCCTGAGAACCCCCCTCCACCTTAGCCACTTGGATAACAAAACGCTGGTCAGACCAGTGGAATTCGTCCACTACCAACCTGAAGGAGTTCATCCCAAAGCCCTGTGCAAAACCAAGTGGCAGCGACCTCCCAAGAAAAGCCTGGGTCAACCTAAACCGTATCAGAACTGGAGTTGGCCGCACATAATATTTCCTACATAAAATTGGAGCTGAATCATCACCAAACTGCGCCTGTGGAGAGATCCAAACTATGGATCACGTCATTGAT